TTATTTTGCGCAGCCATTTTGTTCATTTGGGGGATCGGATATCTGGCTTTCGAGAAAATGTCGAAGCATCTTCAAACATTGTTTTCGCTTTGTAGGGGGAGAAACTTTAAGAGAGGATGTCAGCATATCCATCGAACAAATTTGAAATACTGTGGCAAGTCGCCCAAAATTCGTTTTCTCTCCTACTTTCTTATTTTGTAGCCCAATGTGTCTTAATAATTGTGGTGTAGTTTTTTTGTGAAAATATATTTTAGTTTTCGAGAAATGATATTTTTGTTCGACCGCTCAAATATGCAAATTTTCACCCTGAATATTACCCGAGTTGTGTGACCTCGTGTAACGAATTTACTTGACTTCCGGTATTTCTGTCGGCATAATCCTTTGTTTTATCATCTAAACTTAATCCCTATCTGCTGGCAAGGAAATATTTATATTTTGGTGAATATTTTTGTCCAACATACTTTTTCTATGTCGAAAAGTAGCATCAAAACAAAGACAGTTTTAACAATGACCGATATCACAGAATCTACTGAGCTTCTAGCTTTTAGAAGACGAAAGTATGGTTATGAAGTTACTGTAAAAATTTCCTTGTGTATTTGTGTTGTTCTATCCTGCGACGAACTCAAAATCCGGCAAAATTTACTTGCTAGCGACTATGAAATATACATGGTGTGCCTACTTGTCGCCACCGTTTACTGGCATAAGTTACTACAGTTTCTAAAGAAATCTAACATGACACTCTTACGTTGTTCATGTATGATTTCATTAGCTGTTTTGATGATCAAGTTATGCTCTAACACATTTTAGCCAGATTTAATTTGCAGTTTGTAAATCTTCTCCACATTATAACGACGTCTGGCGGGACGCGTAATTAAGCACACAATGGCGAAGAGCCCTTCCGCAGTAGCTACAAGACGCTGACAAAACTTTTTTCTCTTCACCGAATATCTCATCAAATTTGTCCTTGCTAAATTTCAAGTGTGCTGTACGTATCAGCAACCCCCGAGGAATTTCGAAAACGACCCCTATAAAATTATAAAAGGTACCTGAGTCTTATCCGTGTGGGAGTGGCAACAACTGATATCTGACCCTAAAAAGTACCAATTTAAACACAAAAAAATTGAAAAATCCCAAAAATAAGAACTCCTTTATCGATGTGCTCCAGAGTCTCGAGTCAGATCATTAAAATCTTCCTGCGTATTTCAGGTATTTTATTGAGCGAAAAACACCCTAAAAGGTACCAGCTGGGTCTCTGGTAGTCCACTAAAGTTTTAGACACCGTAAAAGGTACCAGATCACTGATTTTGACCCCTGAAAGGTACGACAAGCATCTTCACCCATGTCCGATCGCCTCCTCCCCCCCCCCCACCAACCCTGTCAGCACCTAAAAACAAAAGATGTGATTTGCCAACTACGAGCTGTCAGTCTCACCTGAGATCTGTCAGATTTTTATGCTGACAAAATCTGACCTGCTTCGAGGCAGGACGGCTGTACTTTTTTTGTTTTGTTCGTCTTGACATAATTTGGTAGGGATTAAAATAACTGTACGTCTACATTTGTTAAAAAGACTATTCAAGTGCATCCAGAACTCGATGTGTGCACTTCTAGTGCATTAAGTATTCTTTTGTAACATAGCAAAAGATCGTGCGATGTCTACTGTTCAAGAAGAGAAATCAGAATTACTTTAATGTCAAATTTGCAGTAAACTACTTGCGTGTCATCCTTTGTTTTCAAGGTGTCCGACTAGGTGTGACTGAAAATGGCACCTCGCTTTGATAGGAATCCTTTTGTTGTTGCTCCTTACTTCCCGAAATTATCACTTGAAATTCGCTCGGTAATATTAAAAAAAAAAAAACAAACAACGCGAGTAAAACGTATATATCCAAATTCTTTTATCACATAAAAGTTGTATTGGAAGAAAACACATCGAGCAATTGGCAAAAGGCAAAAGACCCCCCCCCCCGCATCAAAAATCTAATGGTCCGTCCCCAAGGTACTTTTTACATTATTCCAAAATGGCTTTCGTTCTGGAACGAAATGAATTTCATACCGCGTTTACATGCAAGATAATTTAGCTTGTAAAAACAAGTATTTACGTCCTTTTTCTATGCTTCCCTCGCTCCTAAAGAGGATTCATACAGGCATGAGTGTCGTAATAATAAGTGTTTCGTTCTGGAATGAAAACCTCAATAAACTCATTCAGAAATGACTCGTTTCGAATAATTTTACTCTGGTATCATGTGGCAACCGGGATGAACTCGCTCTTGAACAAAACTCATTCCGAAATCATGTAAAAGGCCCCTAAGAGTTTTATTCCCAGAGCATCACGCTCTGCTCTCCTGCCAGAACACTAAAAAATATCAATAACATTGAAGCAACAACCCGCTTTGAACTGCTACGCTGCTACTGAAACAACGATTAGTGACCACAAAAGAAACATATTATAAAATTGTCAATTCAAAATAAACAAAAATCTTCATACAGGGTAAATATTCATTTG